TTCATAATAAGTCTGTGGAGGGAAGGGTGGAGGGGGGCAGATCAGGGCCCCCATGCTGAAGCAGGGAGTGGGGCAGGAGCTGGTGTGAGTGGGGCCTCGGGCTAGGGCAGGTTGTGTGATAGAGCTGCAGGAGGCTCCTCCAGGGGTGAAGGACAGGGCACAGCTCTCCACCGCTGCACGCACCATGGGGGGAGAGACATGGGGGGCAAATGCCCCCTAAATTTGTATGCAGGATGGAGGCAGGCTGCCTTCTGTGGGCTGCGGCTCTGCACCCAGCCAAAAAATGAACGTAAATTAGGAGCTGGCATTTTCCAAATAGTGCCTTGAGTCTAATGAGGGGTGCCTTGAGACTAAAAAAAAGTTGAGAACCACTGGGTTACGGTCACAGTAAACTGAAAGCGAACTGTGGTTTTGCAGACAAATGGATTTGGAATAAGAAAAGAAAGATTCTTGATTTAGTAACACTTTAAAATAGAACAAAGATCTTAAAATGAGTGAAGAGAACGTTAGACTAAATTTGGTACTGGCATTCATGTCAACCTCATACTATATTATAGTTCAGCTTCAGATCAAGCCACAGGACAGCAGGAAATACATCTGTAACATTTTCTGCTTAAAAACTTACAGAAACTAATAGTTTGTTAATATACTTGACTTGTCTAACAGGTTATTCATCTATGCCCAGCTTTCCACCAGCCTTCATTTGGCAGAGTATTATGAATAATAGACAATGGCTTCATTTTACATCCCTTCTGCTTACAATGTTACACAACCGACTACTAAAATCCTTGTATATTAGGAAATCAAACAAACCTTTTAAAAATAAAAACACAGTATAATGCAAGGAGGAGACACTACAAGAAGGCAAATCTATTCTGTATCTGTTTACTTAGGACAGTCCTGAATCAGAAATGTGCACATGTTCCTCAAAATCTAGATTTTACCTGTTGAAGCATTTCTTCAGTAGCATTAAGTTTCAGCTGATGTCCCTCAAGACAGACTTCTAGGTCCCGAATTTTCTCTCCTTGAGCTTCCACCTGGTCTGTGAGGACACTCACCTGTAATTTGAGAACAAGGGCAGGAAAAACACTGGTAAATTGACTGTAAATAAGACTGCTTCTTTATAAAGCAAACAAGATGACAGTGTACCTTTATAGCCAACTGCTACTTAAAGTCTTTAAAATTTTAAGTCTTGAGTATCCTAATATCTTCCTCTATCAAAACTTGCATAATTTCTGAGTCTTACCTAACATTGTTTGCTTTGAAAGTATTGGTCAACTTGTAGTTTTACAGTCAAAAGGAAAGACCCAGTGTCTCTGGGAGGGCCAACAAACTATGCGTAAGCAGCCTGAATAAATTTAGGTAGCGTGCATACAGCCAATATTTTTTTTAAATAAAAAAACTAGAACAAAGAATACTTTAAAGTGCTATCAGAGCAGGCATTACTATTTCAGCTCCCACTAGCACTTCCCTTCTTAGAGTGGATAAACAATAAAACTCTTCTTTAGGAAACTAACCAATTACCTAACTACTTACAAACACATGAGAACAACTTACCTATCAATAAAGGTTTTTGAAGCTATAAAAGAATGTAATATGTAAAAAGGCATGTTTTAGCAGCAACAAAGCTCTGCTCCACAAAATTTCCAAGCTCTACAAGCCAAAACATGAAGGCAAAAGAACTGAAACACAGGCAATGAATCACTGTGCAGGAAACAATTAGTAATAATCTTGAAAAATTGTAGGAGTGGTTGTAATAAACCAGTGTGTGGACAATAAACAGAATGAGAAGAGCCCACCAAGTTAGCCCAGAAACCTATAACTCAGAAAATTATATTCAGCATAATGTTACAGAGGTGGCCCTTTGGCCTAGACATGATAGCACCTGAAGGATGATCCTATGCATTAATTTATTACTAGTTACTATTATTTAGCACTATTATTTATTACTAGCTACTATTATTTAGCACTCTGAACACACACAAAAGGAGACAGATTGTCCTACAAAAGTTATAATGTCTGTAGAACAATTCCCCAAAATACATATAGGAGCAGGCAGCCCAGCAACTTATAGAAGCTAGGAGAAGCAGTTGCAGGTCCAGCCTTGCTGCCTGACAAATTTGCTGGGCTTCAGAAATATGCAACAGAGTTACTCAACATGCAACAGTCACACCAGAGCCATGTATAACAATCTTTTCGAAATAATGTTATACTGGCAGGATTTCTGAACTTGCCTTGCTGTTTTCAAAGCCTTGCCCTGCATCCTAGTCTTGAATTGATTAACCATAATTTACCTGCCTCAGAGTAGAGTCGTTCAGTATACACAAGCTATTATTCTAAGCACTAGAATCCTCCACCACCATCCCATCCTTACCCTGAACTAATAAATCCTCCAGTTTTGAAACTTAGCTTTACTAAGACAAACCCTCAGGATGAAACCACAAAATACAGATTTCATAGATTTCACTTTTAACTGAAGGTCAGATAACAACATGAATGGCATCATCACCTCCAGCACAAGCTTTCACAGCCAGGCATGTCACTGTCTTGCAGGAGTTCCATAACCCACAGGCTTAGAAAAGGGCCTGCTTGGGCCCTTTTGAAGATACACTCAATAAAAGGTAATGCTTAGATGTGCGCAGGCTTCTGACTCAATCTCCTAACTCAAAGGAGACAATGATCGGGTGAGCTCGCTGCAGGAAACCTGCAGGAAAAGTCACGCAAAGTAAGTGACTTGATAGTCCATGTTTTCTTACCTATGACTAGCTTTTTGCAGGGGTAGATCCAGAGGGAGTGCAGTTGCACCCTCCTTTCCACAGTGTAACTTGGAGGCTCCGGTTCCTTGCAGCTCTGGATGCTTGGGTCCATATTAGAGTCCAGACCATACCACAGGAGCAGCAGCTAGGGACTTTTTTTTTTTTTT